ATAGCAATTAAATAACAAGTATTAATGACTTATTTATTAACATATTAATAGTTGGCCTGAGAGTAATAAATGCAAATTAGTGTAAAGTGGTACCAAAAATTGTGTCGATAATAGGCCCTGAAGTAATCTTGTGTGTTCAAGATAATTACAAATATATTTTCCTTTCAAAAGTCTACTGCCGGGTAATTTTTTATGGTTTGCTATAATATCATTTTAAAATTAGAAAATTAGCCCTAGTCTCATTAAAATAATTTTGCAGTGCATCAGGCTTTATTTCAAGTGCAAGTTTCACATTATCTTCCCGCCTACAGACCTTGCATTTTTTTTCAGAAACCCTCCTTATGTGCCACCATTCTGGGCCTATGCTTGGTATACTAATTGTGTTGGTTTAGCTTACTACTTGCACAACTTTTACTCATCGTTAGCATTATTATGTAAAAAGTACCTCTGCAAGTAGGGGTGGTACCTGGAGGGCTAAATCCAGTAAAAATCTCTAAAGGTTAGATTTTTTCCTTTTTATTCCTGCTAATAGCAATTCACCACACAAAGAGTTCAGAGGTTTTAAACATGAACAAGGTGATGCACTGGTCTCTGCACACTTAACAACCAATCCAACCAGAATAGATCCCCCTCAGAAGACCATCCCTACTCAGCTGTTTTTCTAGAAATATTTTTTTTTAAAACACTCTTATTTGTTTAGACAAAAAGAAAATCCCACTTCATGCCTTGTCTCTGAACTGTTACTTAACTTTGGAAAACTGATTACTTGGTGAGGACGGCAAGACATTGTCATTTTATCAGTCCTACAAAAAAGAAAAAGGCTTGCTAAAACGCAGAGTCCTAACCTCGCCACTGATCTGCTATCAATGGCAAGTTAATGTATTCCTGTCTGTCACTGGTCCTGATTTTATCCATTCTAGAATTTGGCACACATTTAACATGTGACCATCTCTAATAAAAGATCAGTAAATATTCAGCTCTGCCTCCATAGGTTGAGGAATGGAGGTCCAGGCTCCCTCCTAGCAGAGGTGCACAGAACACTGTTTCTGCAAATGTTTGTTTCCATAAACATTTCTGTCTGCCTTTGTAGGCGGCATTTTTACTTCTTTGCAGCTTTCCTCATTAAAGGCATTGTAAGTGACTTCTTCGAAAAAAATCACGTCCATTTCTGTATGGTACAGGGCTTTGGTGGCCCTCTCCCCACAGTGCCTTCCAAACCACTACTTAAATGTGATTGTGGCCATGTAATCTGTGTACCTGGAAATATAATTCGTTTTGTTGCTAATGAAGGTCCTACGGCACAAATTTATTAACAGTATACTTTTCCATGGGATAATAATTGGGTCGATAATATTAAACTCATAGGCTCATTATTTAATTGCAAGGGCAGATTATGAATACAGCTTCTAAAATGTATTTTAATGAAAAACACTACATCCTGACCTAATCATATCAACCTTATGCTATCTAATTAAGGATGCAAAAAATCATTAGAGTTGCAAAATATTAGTTCCAGCTCCATCAGGCTGTTAGCTGCCCCTTCATGAATATATATTTTTTTTTACTCTATGATAAATAGTTAATGAGGTAAAAATGACAAAATTTGCATGTAGGCAAATTAGTTTAATAGACTGATGTCTTCCTGGTCTACAGAAAGTGACCTTTTTCCTATCGAAAGAATGACTAAAAATACCTTGAAATGATGGCATGGATGTCATTCCACAAATGACAAATCACTTCTCTGAACAATATAAAAATTATAAAATGCAATAACCTTAAATTCTCATCATATTGTAAATGTGTCCTCTACTGCTGCATTTATCAATTTAATAAAAGGAAATTAAGCATATTATAAAATACCCATTTATGGGGCAATTTTTAATCCAGGGAATAAAAATTGGAAGCATGTGGTTAATAGCAAGAAAATATTGCAAAAACGTAGACCTATTTTTTTCAGAAGGTTTGACTGACTATTTACTTGAATGACCTCCATTTAAAATATATTCTTTATACGGAGTGATGTAAGATATGGCAGTCTCATGCTTCCCTTTATAAAAATTATTCACAGTTAATTTCGTATCTTATTTAAAAATTAGCACATTAATAATGCACGCAATAAGGGCTAGTGATGTGTCTTCCATACTGATTACCTTGTACAATTAGACATACAAAAAGAAAGGGACAAGACAAATACCTTATGCAAATCTATGGCTGAAAAAAAAAAGGGTCTTTCAGTATCTGCAATGCCTAGGAGCATAAAAGACCTCTACATATAGTTCCCAGTCTTGCAGGGAGATGCTCCATATGGAGAACACATTTCTACAACAGAGAAAGTCTTTATTACAGAACTAGATTTACTAAAGAGTTACCAAACTTCGTTTGATGATTCTCTTTTCCATCAAAATAATATAAACAACAACAACCAAAAAAAAGAGCAGAAGGGGAAGATTTCAGGTTTCTGAAGAACATTGATTCTTTTTTCACAGTATTTGTGTTTCGTACAGATAACTCTGGAGTTTTGGACCACAGTCTCCTCTCGCAAATTTCCCCCATTTGTGAGGCAGATCCTGTGCCACTGAAGTAGATGGGAGAGATCCTGCTGATACAAGTGATGCAAATTTCTGCACTCTTTCCACATTGTTCATACCTTCTTTTATTATATAGACTGCACCAATATGTCCAATAGAGAACAGGAATGTTTAATGTTGCCCCAGCCTGGCATTTGATTAGGACTGATATAAAAGGAAGGACAAAAAATCCATGCAGATGTAGACAGAATAGAATCAGAAACTTAGGTATTCAGTAAAGACAAAATTGTGCTTGACTTTGCTTTGTTGAATGAAATGTGCACTGCTGCCTACACAGCACTGGAATTCTTCCCTCTGCTCTGACTGCACTCTCTGTGCTGCTGGATTCAGCTGAGACTTGGTCCATTTTAAAGGATCTCAGACTAAGGTCAGGTAGACACATTACAGTGTGGCATTTCATGCATGCCAGGATGCATATTGGGAGCAAAACTAGGCACTTAGGTGTGTTTATAGCTGTGGGTCATGTTTTTCAATGTTCTGGCCCTTGAAGTATGTGTTACTGTAGCAGTGGACAGTCCGTATTTCCTTCATTGAGAGGCACATTATTTGTATACAGAACAGAAATTTTTCTTTCTATTCTTTTATGTACATCTTTATCCTCAACCTCTCCTTTCCACCTGCCCTTCTTTTTTTCTTTTTCCTTTTTTTTCTCTTATTCAGCCCTTTCAGCACTGCTGCAAGAAATGATGCACTGGTAATAACATTAGAAATTTATTCAGTAGTCGAAACAGAAATGCAGTTGTTTGCAGTTGCCTTATCTGCCCCTTTTTCCATATGGCATCAGTAGTTCAAATGCTTCTTGAACTCTGTCAGGCTTGGTGCTGTTACCACTTCTCTGGGAAGCCTGTTCCAGTGCCCAACCACCCTCTGGGTGATGAACCTTTTTCTAATATCTTACGTAAACCTCCTCCTGACATGTAAAATGAGGTCCACTATATATATTTGTTTAACCTTGTAACAAAGGTAATCGAAACCAATCATCAGTGGTTATGCTTTGACTTACTGTAGAAAGATTTCAAGTAAAAAAAAAAAAGTGTTATTTTACTTACTGGGGTAAAAAAATAAGTTCTATCTGCATAAAAAGTGGGAATGGTGGAGGCAGGTGGTTGTGGAAACACATCCACTCCTTCCAACTTTTTCCCTCTCCTCTGTTGAAACGCCATGTTCTGCTCTGTATTTTTCCACAAAAATTAAGTTTATTGACTATCTGCTTTATCATTCAGTTTTTCCTTTCAGGGTACAAACTGTCATCATGAAAAAAAAAGTGGAAAATAATTACAGCTGTGGCAGATGTTTATAACAGTGACAACTGAGGCTATATATTTATATAATGCTGATCTTTCAGAGGTAGCTATAGAGACTTGAAAAACCTGCAGACCCTTATCTGAAGTCCTTATCCCAGTGGGTTAGAAAAGAAAAACAAAACAACTCATATGTACTTAAGAGGACTATCTTCCTTCCTATATGGAATCTGTTCATTTTTACATTGAAGCAGGAGAGTTACCAAACAAAGCATTGTATTCAGAGGTATTCATAAATGTATAAATCAAATTGATGAGCACTTTAACAATTGACCAAAAGTTGGTTTATAAAATAGTCCCATGGGAATTAATAACACTGATGCAAAGCTAGAAAGCAAGGAAGAAGAAGTCCCTCACAGAAGGAAGACAGTGTGCCTCACAGACTGCTGACCACGTTATTTCTTCTATTTTCAATCCTTTGAAAGCAATTATGCTCAGAAGCCTCATCTGTGGATGACACCCCCACCATTGGACACTTTGTAAACACAAATTAATCTCCTATACATCACAGCCTTAGGTCTGTATTTGAGACTAGACACTAGTGGCTTAATGGAAAAGAAAGAGGAGTTATTTTTGATGACCAAAGTAGTGCACCTTCCCCTGCACATTTCCAACTTACCCTACTCCTCTGGGCAATCCTGAAAGGAAAGGGCCAGAAAGCAGAGCATAGCTATCATTTCTGACTGACCAAACTCACACCCCCTCCTCAGGGCAGCCCCACCTGTGCCCTTTTAAAGAGTGAATTCTACTTGTTCATGGAACTCCTCAATTTGCTGAGCTGGCAGAAAAATTATCTGGGATGACACTGACATTTAAACAAGTAGTAGGTCTCTATGACCCAGTCAAGAACTAGTAGATGGCACAGGTCATTTTTAACACCAGTGATGCCTCTAAGCTTTTGGTTACTAAGCAGATTGTAACCCCTTATGATGTTCAGGCAATGCACATGCAACATCACAAAATTCTCCTGAACATGCTTCTTAACTTCTCCCTTCAATGAAGCATCCTAAGAATAATTTTCTAATATCTATGTCCTCTTCGGTAATACCCAGAAATACAGAGCATTAATTTGGATCACAGACTCCTTTTGCAGACACTGTTCACCACTCACCATCCGTCTTTCACCGTTGATTCCTCTCCACTGCTCAGCCCTCTTCATAATGTAGCTGAGCTCCTGACTGGAAATCTCTAAATCCAGTGGAATAAAGAATGTGCCTTCCTCACCATGAATACGTCGAAATACATCCAACAGCCAACCTTCGCTATGTAGCCTAAGGACAGAAATGACACAGTGGGTTCATTTTTGAAAGGACTCTTCACACACACAAAAAAGAAGAAGGTATCCTACAAAAGTTATCCTTTTGTAGACTTCTAAATCTTGATTTCACCTTCATGACTATGCTCTTGACTGATGAGTAAGAAGCTTCTTTCCAACAAGTTCTCCAACATACAGCCCTCCCCAGCCCTCTGTAGGATTTACGGTACCCAAATCAAATCACATCAATGTAGTAGCAATTTATTTTAATTATTTAAAAGTATTGACTTCCCAAAAAGATCCTGATCTCACTTTCCTTCAGAAAGTCTAATGTCTGTCCTTACCATTGGGGTGGGTAATTATTCCAGTACCATAGTTAGGCATAAATGGAAGTCCTGCTGTGCCAGGGTTCAATAATGGGCAAACCATGTCATATAGAAAGGAACAACTCACCATTATTTTCAAACCCAAGCCTGGAGTCTACACAATCTAAACTTTGCTTGAAGTTAGAAAAGTTAATTTCAGTTGCTGGCTTTGTTTTTCTATGACATTTCTGTACTGTGGTAAGGAATTGACTAAGCACTACACAGTAAAACTTTCTACCACAAGAAAGGCTTGCTGTGTGGTATTTCCTAATGTAGGTGAAACCAAGAAATATTGTGAGGTTTTGGGAAAAGTCTGGTGTCACATTTTTAGCCTAAGATAAACTTAAAAACTTAAAAAAATTTCTGTTGGATTCAAATCAAACCTCTTCAATTCATCGGTTTTTTCTTCTACTTTTATTCCAAAACAGGGGTTCAGAAAATAAAGATCAGGAAATATGGAATCTCAGTTTTGGATATTGGATGGAATCTTTCCTTTTGTATTCTCTTCCAAGCTAAGATTTTACTACAATTCAACTGTTGCTTGGTGCCAATTTCAACCTTTTTGTCCTTCTCAGAGACTGGCTGGGTAGTCATGTGAAGTGCATGGATTGCTGTTTGGCTCTACAACCAACAAAATGCCTGGACTTCAGTGGGGCTGTACAGGTCCTTCATTTCTTGGCAGGTTGGAGACAGAGCACAGGTATAACTCATTTGACCTTCTGTACTCTCATCCTTCTTGCGTATAGCAGCACTTGTGCCAATTCTTGTGACTGGTCCTTATCCTTGGGTCTTGTATTGGCCTGTATGTGCTGAACAATATGTACAGATGGGAAAGGCAGAGGTTGTTCAGATAAATCAGAATGAACCTCACATTTACACCAGTTCTACATCACACTTTACAGTGCTCACAGTAAGTGTAGAGAAACACACTCAATAAGCTGCTCAGTACACTTTTGCCCACAACTGAGATTTGGTGTGGAACAGAAATAAGGAGATGCACCAAGAGACATTTTTTCATCTTGATCTCATGGGCAGCTTTAGCACTCTCTTCAAAGGGGAATGTGTACCTTAGGGTCAAATTCTATATCCAAGAGTTTCTGTGAGAGAGTAGCTATTCTGATACCGAAATCTGGTAGCCTGGCTCAACGTCAGATTAGGAATTTATATCTCATGCTTTGATGCAAAGGTGTTCTCTGTACTTTTTCCCCCACCCTTCTTTTATTTGAAACATTCTTTTTTGCAGCCCTAAATTTGCTGTAGCTTCCAAGATGTCATTTTGGGATTCTCTTATAAAAGGGAGAGCAGCTGGAAGAAAACCTAGGTAGATAGTCCTGGGAATATAAACAAACTGGCTACAAGAAATAATAGAAAATGCTCTAAAGTGTGAAATGCAAATCAGTGCTAAGGCAAAGCAGGATACTAGAGTAATTTAAACCACGTTAAAGTAGAAATTATTTTTTATAAATAACTAATATCCTTCACAGAGTAATTTACCAAATTCCACAGTGTCTTCAAAGAAAAGTTTTTCTCTTAATCTCTGGATCTACATCAGATGATCTTTTCATACAATAGATACACTTTTGCAAGAGTTGACTAGTGATTTAGAATTATCTTGTACTTAGTTAAAAAACTAGCAGTCAAGCTGGTGGGCTTTCTGACCTTCTGCTCATGTTGAAGCAATATTATTCCAGGGTGTTCATATTTGAAATTCCAGGTCAGCAAGTTAAATGACTTGTCACTTATCTTGCTAAACAAGAGAAAGACCTTGCCATTTATTTAAGCTCACTTAATGTAACATTCTTATTTCAAATTCAGTAAAATTTAATGCAGTTAAATTACTGTCTATTTGCTGCCATAAACATTTTCTATATGAAGATTTTAAGCACATGGTTATAAACAATATAATTAACTTTGAATTAATTAAGAATCATGAAGGCTGTCTTCTAACTTATTTCATTTTGTTCAAAGGACTCAGCCTGCTCCTGTTACCTGCTTTAATTTCTTTTCTTCAACATGAAAACAATAAAACACCTATTGTACCTTAACATGGGTTGTTATAAACATAAAATAGTTATTTCTATTGCTAATACAATAAAAAACCAAAACTCAAATTACATTTTATAGACATCTGAGAATCGGTATAATACTCTACAAGTTCATTTATTTATCTCTCAGAAAGAACAGAAAACCTTGAAATGATTTACTATCCAGAGTTAGTCAAAAAAACGGGTTTCTCAAAGAATTACACAAACCAAAAATTGAAGGGTAATTTTAGTGGTTTAAAATAATTTATTACATCTTCACTTGAGCCTTTCTCATCCTTTTTTGGAAAACCACTGTTAAAAAATACAAAAACAGTTTTGCTGTTAACATTGAAAAATGTAGATTTTTGAAGCTTTTCCCTGAATAATGTTTCAATACCAGGAAATTCAGGCGCTTTCAACAGACACTTTTAGTTGAGAGGGTCTGCATTTTCTCACAGTGTAGAAAACATTTCACCAACAAATTCCTGTCTGTTTCTAATGTCTAGAGGAATTAAACTGAAGGAATTGCAACCAATGCCACTTCATTTTTCCAAAAAGCAATTAGAATATCTCTCCATGTTAGATGTACTACAGACTCCCAAGATACCCAAGGGGAGCCAGACTTTTTGAGGTATTTTGGTTTATAAAGATGCAAATAGATGTCTACTGCTGCTTATCCCCTACCCATGATTTCATTAGCTTCCTGCTTGTTCATCAGTGCTGCCATGAAGCTTTTTAGCTGTGGCAGAAACAGACACGTCCCCTGCTTCCTTTGGTGGTCTTGTGGGTTCAGTGTTCTTACCCTTTTTTTTTACACACTGTGAAACACTTCAGCTTAATGGCAAATTGCTGAGTAATTCTAAAAAATGGCACCAACTCCTCCATTCAACAGCCAAAGTCTTCTCTGTGGATTGGAGTCTTAAGGTAGAAGATATCTCTCAATATCTATATTGGTTTACTTTACAAGCGAAAAGTAAAGTGGATGTCTGTTTAAAAACATGTTTTCTGAGCTGAGCAACATTACATTTGAATATATTTTAGATATAACATCTGAGAAACACTCACACAAAGGGATGCTACTGTCTTAATTATAGCACTATTTTCTCTTGAAAACAAATGCTGTTATATCAATATTCAGGAAACAGTATTATGAATTACAGAGATATTTTCCTTAAAAACATTTTAAAAAGTTTTAATGCTATCATTGTTGGACTGACAGTGTGCTGCTCAAGAGTCCTAGCTATGTCCAAGGTTCCCACTGTGTTGGGCTGTAGACACACAAGGAAGAGAAAGTTGATCCAATTGCAGAAGATCATAGTATAATTTTACTCTGTACAGACTTCAGTGTTCAAAATATCTCCTTTTGTTATCAAGAAAAGAACTTCAAAGACCTTATCCACTGTAACACATTTTGTTATTTTCCCTTTGCTTTTGTATTTTGCAATGAATCATTTTTGCAATGTGTTGTGCTAAGACAACTTTTTTTTCCCTTAGTAACATTATTCCCCCACCCCTTTATTGGAAAACATTATGGGAAAATTGATCCAGAAGGAAAGGTATATTTGATGATCTTGCACCTGTTCCCCAGACAATGAAGATGTTGGTAATATTCTCATAAAAACCTGTCTTACAAATGTTTTAATTTAAATTAATTTTCCTGAGTAATAAGCAACAGCAACTAAAACTTATGAAGCTATTCAAAACTATTAAGTCAATGATTAAGAAGGCATTAACATCCCAAAAACTAATTAACTAGACTACCAGTACATTGGAGTTGTGTACAGCTTCCAGGAATGCAGAAGCTTTGAAATACTTTGCAGAAATTTAGATGGCCATTTATCTTTTCCTGACTGCTGCCGAATCTGTGAGAGGGTGACTGAGGGTTGATTCTGTCATATGGAGGGCGTATGGTGGGCTTTTCTATTCTTACATCTGCCTGCATCTTGCCTTTGTATATGGCTTTTTATTGGTGCTTGCCAACATTCATCACTGGATGAATAGAGGACCAGTACAAAATTCATACTACATTATAGATGAGCCACTCAGAAAAAAGAAACCTAACATTTTTTCATCCAGTATGTTAGACATCCTATTTAATTAATTTTCAGCATCCCACATCTGTCCCTATTGACTGCACAGTTAATTTGTGTCTACTAGGAAGGTGGCAAGAAAGGTAGTTGGTCAAATTTCATGATGAACTGAATACTGAAAACGGGCTGAATTCATGGAAAAATTATTTGGATTAAGTCATGTCATGATGACTCAGTCACATCAAATGAAAAATACTGTATCATCAAAAGGTTGTAAGGCTTTGAGAGCCACTACAAACTCAGAGGTTTTTGCACTTCATATCATATGTAGCTTTCTGAAATTTTTCCTATTTCTCACAAAACCCCTGCTTATAAGACACATCTTCCAAAATACCTATATAAAAGGTACACACACTTTGCAGCTTAAGCCCTTGACACAGACACCATTGCCTGAAGCCAGACAAGCAGAAGCTCCTAGACTCTGTGAAAAACCATGATACCAGCTGTGCTCCTGGTGAGGAAGTAGATGGCTCCATCTCTGACTTGCAGTGCCCAGCAAATCCCAGTGCATTAAAAGTTAAGCAGAACCTAACCCCTCCTTGATTATCTGCAATTCTGGGCTCTGGATGTGTGACACTGATAAGTCTTTTCCGATGTCACCTTATTTTATCTAACAGGAGAAGGGGCATGAGCCTAAGCTCCTAAGGGAATAATAAGATAAAGAAGCATACCTTAAAAAATACAGGTACAATACTGTCGACGAGATCATGAACAGGACTGTATAAAGCATCACAGTGATTAAAGCACCAGGAACCCCTGACTCCTCAGCTCTTAGAAAGACCCAGGAGAGTTTTGCAGCATCAGCAATTGGTTTGTCTACACTGTTCCCAAATCGCTGTCATGGAGAAAAAAATCAATATCAGAAAATATCAAACCTGATTAGACCATAGAGGCAAAAGAGCCTGAATTTATTTACAAGAAGAATTTAAGTGTAATTTGCAAGGAACACAGTCTGAAACTTAGGATTCTATTATACAGAATTTGAAATTAACCATGAGATGTGAAATAAACTATTTTCTGGCTGATTTTAGTACAATTAAAATCTACCCTATAGAGGTGACTTATTGAACAAAACCCATGTAACAGTGAAAATACTCAAAGTGAACTCTACTAATGTATGTCAGGAAAAGTGAAAAGGGAAGAAGGCTGAAATTTGCCTTATTTCTATGACCAAGTAGGCATAATATTGAATGATTTGTATTCTTCTCCAGAAATCTATTATTTTCCTTTTTTCCTTCCCCCCCCTCCCCCCGCATATCTAGTTCTTAAGAACTAGCTACTGTATTGACATATTATTGCCCTCTGCTGGATCAATTTAGAAGAATTTAAATACATATCATGGATCTTCTACTGCTCAGAGCTAAAATAAATTTCTCTCTTCACTTTTTCCTTTTTAAAATGACACAGTGACAGCTATACCCATATTAGATCATGTTGACACATTTTGCAAGGATGTGAAACCGAACACCAAAACATACAGTGTTCATCATTCAGAGAGAGTCTGTGACCTTTAGGCTTCAAGAAACCTGCACCTTTCTGAGCAACTTGGCCAAATTAATCCTTAGGAAATGCCAAAACTTTCTTCCCATTTTTGGCTACCTCCTATGCATGCAGTGACATGTACGGTAAAGGAACAACAACTACAGGTTCAATGATGAGCTATAAAAGGACTGAGATTCTTGAGGACATTTCTGTTCTCTCTTCACCTTTTGCAACACTGCTAGGTTTCTATAATGGAAATTAAAGGTCCTAGGACACCAGTCATGACATATAAAGACTAGTCACTAATTCAGAACTGTCCATATTGGTAACAAAAATATTAAAATACTCTGGTTCTGTTCTATCTCCCAGTTATATCTTCTATTCTGGGAGAAAAACAAGCAAACAAACAAACAAACAAACAAACCCAAAACCCCAAAACCACAAGAAACTGTCTACCAAGAAAAATCCTCTGCACAGTAGTCACGTCCTGACATTCCTTCAGAGAGGCAAAAGCCTGAATGGCAAAGAATAAATTTCTTTCTTGTCTAAGCAGTTCTATCTGGCAAGGCAAAGATGGCACGGTAGAACTGCACTTTTCTATCCTTACTTTCTAACAAAGATATTCTGTCAATCTGTATACCTTCTATGATCCTCAAAAACATGATCCAAGAAAGGTGTCTTCAGTTCAAGTTACTTAAATAACATTTGTCAACGTCTCTCTCAAGTACTTATCATATCACTGAGGGATGGTCACATGAGCCTTTTGCAATGCCTACTGGTTTTTATGATGACACGTATCCATGTGGCCAAAGAGGTGTTACTGTCTGCGTTTTAAAAGCTACAGACAAATGAAGTGAGTGGGGTCCCAGGAAAGCTCTGGTAGAACTTGAACTGCGTAAGAGTTTCTTATCCTTGGAACATCCTTTTACAAGCTGACAATAAATCAAACCTGAAATCACACATTTGACACAGTATTTTGGACTATTACTTGACACCCATCCCCCCCACCAATGCAACTGCCCTCTAGCCTTTCCTTGGCAATAAGAAAACATTACTTAGTAAACACAAAAACTTTTGTCTCCAGGGCTATCTGTCATCTTTCATAAGTATTAAGGTCATTTAGGATACTAAAATACATTCTAGCACTAAAATAACTCATATTACCATAACATAATATTTTAAAAAGGTTTGATCTAAAATAGATTGGCAAGTAAATCTGAAATAGCTGCTGAAAGAATGCCAGGAGAAAAAAAAATTACAAATGCAATAATGAAAACACATGTAAGAGATATAGTTTCATTTTGGAAAGGATACACACAGTATATTGTGTAATATTCGGACAAATGAGTTCCTACCAAAGATAATCTTGGTGGTAAGACTGCCAAGTTTTCAGTATGAAGTACAGAGAGGTGTGTACTTTTTTAACATTGTAATGAAAAAGCAAGTTACTTTATTTGTATCTCGTGCTTCCTCCTGACCAAGTGCTATTTGAAATTAGTAATGATCCTGTTTGTTTAGAACTAAACACAATTCCACTGAAGTCAATGGCAACAATTTTCTCAATGCAAGTGTGGGAAAGATAAGGCAAACCTCAGCCTTTCTTCCAGTTTTTATGAATACATCAGCATTAGAAAGGAGAAAAAAGCCTTTTAAGCATTTCGATATTTCTAGCCCAGTTATTGCAGGAATACCTCTTTTTCTCTTAGGAAAAACATATCTCAATCAGAATAATTACAATTAAAATTCAATTCTGTGCATGTTTTATATCACAAAATACAGGTTGTCCAAATGAAAACTAGATTGTGTTGCTACATGCTGAAACTATTACAATTACCTCCCAAGCAAGCTCCAATTAAATTTATTGAAGAGTTGAATTTTAATTTTCAAAACCATTGCAATGTAAAGAGTAAAGAAGCACCTGCAGAGCACAGGTTAGCAGATGAGGAACCAAGAGATTTGAGAAAACCTGATCCCCAACAAGGTCTGTTGATCTAGAGTGAGCAACAGAAACATAGATGACTTTGAAAGATTAACAAGGGCAGAAGACGAGCAATACCACACTCCCAGAAAAGCTCTCAGAATCTCACACCCATCAAAAGGACCCTGTATCACATACACAGTGAGACCCAAATTTGAACTGCATCTTCTAGGAGACTAGGCATTTACCTTGGACGTGATAAAAGTTGGCAGTCACCCAAGTACTGTTGGGCTACACAGCACATACATAGAGTTGGGAGCTTTGCTCTACTGATTTTATATATGATGAAGCTCTCTTCTTAAAGATGTTTATCTTTCAATCTCACAAGTCTTTTTAGGAGTGCCAGCAAATTATATTAACTACATTGCATGTCAGAGAAGTGCCCGATAACCTCCATTTTTTTCATTTTGTCTGTTTCAGTGCTTAGAAAAATCTGAAGTGTTAATAATCAGGATTGCTCATTAACCCATCTCCATTAACATCTAAAATTGCAGCAATCCTTTTCAAAGCAGACACAATCACTTCAGCAGTGGATTTACTTTCTTATCTCTGTATATGGCTTATACAGTGCTCTTAGTTTTATGTAGAAACAGAGTGACTCCATTAGATGGGAATTTTGTTAATAAAAAGGTAATGTATAACATTATTATTTAATTTCTTTTTAACTTTCATGTTCCATTGCCAGGGGTGGAATTTCATATCTTTCAGTGATTCATTGAATAAAACAAACTTCTACGTCAAATTCTCATGTTCAAGTTATTTTAAGTGACTCACCCTCAGGAATGAATCCACTACTAACACTGCCAAGGGGTCTAGCACTGTCCATAGTCCCATAGCTATGATAAACTTTGACAAGAAGGAAGGGAATGAATCAAACAGCTGCTGACAGCCCCATCTGATCAGGACCATAAGAAGCAGCCCTGCATTCAAGGTTAGGGGTCCCACCACAACCATGACCAACTCTTCACTGGTGTGCAGCAATGAGTTCTGGTAACACAGTTCAACAGTGTGAGGAAAGAGCTGGAATCTGTAAAAAAGCAAAAGGAGAGTGTTTGTTTGTGCTCCTAAGCAGACCATTAAAAAAAAAATAGAATCATGCATGTTGCATTGTAAAGTTACATCCCTATCTGCATCACAACCCTCTGACCAAAAACTGTATGAAGCTACTCCAAAAAAGAAAGAAATTTTCTCCTCCTGCCTCTGTCTCCTTTGACTCCCTCTGACTCTCAATAGGTGCACCTCCAGGCCCTTGAGACTGTGCAGGAAAGGCTATACAAAGATGCTACCTCCCAGAAGCACGATCATGAGTACAGGCCCCAGAAGCTTACCTGTCTCTGCATACTGCAGTACCTTTGGGCACTGCATGAAGTAGAAAATCTGATATGAAAGACATAGCTTTTAACATGCCTAAAGTGGTTGGAAATGTTCCTCTTGCCACCATAAGATCATGAGATTTGCAAAGCTCATACAATGAGAAATTTGCTGGCACTGTAAGAGACATGAACTGCATGGCTCTGTGAGCTACATACAGAAGCTGTAATTTAAGGCAAAAATTTCAATCCAGCTGAAGTGGTTTAAATTCTGTTCCTAGTTAAATGCAAAGTGGTTTGATTCTCACTTTGGTTCGGACTTGTGAGTGTTACCACTATATTTGTTAGGAGCAGAGAGTGCTCAGCTCAGTCTTATGTTGTTCAGGCACACAGATACAGGTTGGGATGCTGATCCAGGGCATTTTGGCTTGAGAACATTATCCATTATCTAGCTGACTGCCTGGGACAGCTGTGACTAGTGGCTTTGAACATGACCACCACTCTCTCATGCATTGCTTCCTTCTGTTGAGTTTCCTTTGTTTTCACAGACTCTCGATGCTTGGCCTCCCAGAAGTTTTAACACCAGCTGGCTGAGCACACATGGGGTGTGCAAGGAGAGAAGGGAGAGATGGTTGGCTTTGCATTAAGATCTAGAAGACCACCTTAACAATACCCAGCACTGTCCAGAGTCCACTCAGTACAAATTTTAGCCAATAATCAATCCCACTATCACAGCAGATATAGGTCAGAAAGTTGCACGCTACTGGCTCCTACTGACTGATTCAGGTTTGCGCGATGCTTTAAAGTGAACAAATAAAAAAAAATTCTGTTGGAGAAATTGTCCCTTTCCTAAGCATGATTGAAATTTCTTATTCTGTAAACCCATTCTCTACCCCACAGCAATATGTAGAGGATCGGGTATATATCACTAGTGGACTTGTTTTCCACCTTTTTTTCATGTAAGTAGTGACAAGCAATGATTTTCCTGCAACTCTCTAGGGAGTTCTAATTCCTGAGCTAAAGTATGTATCATAGAGTTAAAATATGTCAACCCATTGTAGTACTCACAGTAAAACTGATATACCAAAGTTAAATTCTTAGAAGTATTTTACTCATAGATCACTTCAGTAATATGAAGTATGGTTTGAATGCTTCTTCAGTTTTGTGCACTTCTTAGGCATTTTGAAATACTTTATCCAAAATGATAAACTATTCTTCTGGAAGATACATCACCTGCTAGGTATCTCAGAAAGAAGAGAGGTAGGCATTGACACAAGACACAGTTTACATTACTAACACCTCCTAGGGTCACATTTGCATATCAGATCATCTAGAATCTGGATGCAGTCCTTGATCTTAGTCTCTGCAGAGGCTCCTATCCGGGCTTTCATGTAGAACCTTTAGCACAAGTCTTAGTCATTGATTCTCTTCATAGCGCAAAGGAACTGCTTTGAATCAAATTATTTGGAGTAATATTCTGACTGAGAAAAGAGGTTAGCAGGACTTACTTTGTAACAGGTACGGAGATGGTCTGAAGGAAGAGCCATTGGCTCAAATAATGCAGGTAAAGTCTCACGAACCAAAGCAAAACTACTAGCAGTGCGAGCAGCCAGAAGTCCCTGGAGCGCCAGTGTGTGGCTCCCAGCTCTGAAAAGACTGTATGTGCCACAAAATGGAAATGCTCCACAACCTGCCGGTACAGTTTCACTTCAGCAGCAGAATGGCAGCTAGAAATATATGGAAACAATGCAAAGAATCATTTGTAAAGACATTAAAGGAATACCAGTTGCTAAAACACTCTAGAGTCCTGTTATTCAGGTAATTTGGTACAGATTCTAATAATAACTTTTGATTGAACAGTGCATCTGACAGTAAAAAAAAATAAAAAAGAATGTTTTTCCATGGCAAGTCTAGGTGAGAGGTGGCTTCCTCACAGAAATCATGCTGCCACTTTCATAAAGAAGACAACAAATCACATTTAAAATTAAGTTTTTAAAAGACTCTTGTTTTCATTTTGATTTTAATTTTCTCACAAATTGCTCTCTGAGGAACACTTTTTCCCTTATTTCTCTTCAGAGAGAAAGGCAAAAGAACTTGTCATATTTGTACTGAAAAGTATTAATGTTATTGAAAACCCGTGAACAGCTTTTTGGCATTTGGTTAAGAACATTCGGTCAAATATCTCAGTACACAATGTGGGCTAAAACTCCTCTTTAGTTTCAAACGAAAGAGAAAATAAAAAGGAACTTGCACTGTAAAAGGATTCTTCTACTGAGTGTGGTGTGATTTGCCCTTTAAACTAATTACCATAGTGCTTCAAAGGGGGTGGAGGGAGGAAAAGAGATGCAGAGATGTAGCCTTGGTATTATATTTCCAAGAAACTGGAATCTCTCAGGTGATTCAAAGCTGAAAAGACAGTAGCTCCTTTGACCTTTGAAAACTTCTAACTACTTGTGCTTATTTCCACCAATTTAAACGACTAAGCAGCTGAGATGCACAACTCTAGGACTGAACATGATGTCATCATGCTCAGACTGTTATTTATGTTGATTAAACCTTCTGAAAGTTTAGAAATATAAAGATCTTTTTGTGGAAGAAAACATACTGGCTTTTTAAGTGTAGCATATGACTGGAGAAGAAGCAACAGACATACTTGCACTGTATTTTATACACTTTTAAAGCACTTTCATGTCTACACATATTTCTTAAATAGCTTTATACATTTCTTTCTTCAGTAGTCACAAAGAGAACGGTGAATAACAACAGCGAAACTTAAAAGGTTTCTGCATTTGTTCTAGGTTTGAATGAGAAGGAGAAATAAAAACACCACACTTGCCAGCCATAGGTCTGGATTTTGAGACCAGCCTTGGCATCATATTACTCCTGATCCTCAGTGTTGAGCAGGATGCATGCATTGGAGAGAGCATGCTGTCAGCCAGTTCTTTTTCTCATGAGAAGGCTCAGGCTTTAGTTACCTGCTTGGTTGAAAAAGAGGATGAGAAGTTGTCAGAAACACACCACAAAAAAACCCCCATGTTTTGGGTGACTAAAAGGGTTCAAGTACAAATCACTAAAACTTCTTGCAGAAATGTGTATTGGGCTGAGGCGGTTAATCTTTGCAGTGACTGTAGTTTGATCTGTCAGGGGTTTTGAAGGTTTTTTGAGACATTGCAGTCCATTTTTCTCATATCCCAATCAGTCATAAAGTCCTACTTTAGAGACTCAGGACTACATCATGAATCACCTTCCTCATACTGTAATTATTTTCCCACAGCAGCCTACAGGAACATCACAACACATTTCATTAACATTATGAATTCATAGTCTAGGCTTGTGTGAGAAAGAGACAAAGAAAAATGTAAAATAAGAAATATAATTGACTGTGGTATTATACTACAATAACCATGGAATTCTGACTGTTCTAAACTCTGCAGCCAGATTACCCTCACTTCCTTTCATATAAAGATATTTTTGTCATCTTTAATAGCTTCCATCAAAATTTACTGTCGAGGCATTCACTCCTTGAGAAGAGTTAAGAAGGCAGGATTAGCCACACTGGTATTTTAGTTAGACCAAATAGTTTGCTGTTTGTGCAAAAAAAAAAGAAAAAATAATACTATCTTAGCTCATAATACTCTACTCATCCTTCATCAAACAAGCAGAATTGCATAGATGTCCCACCCAGCCTCGCCCATTTCAGAAATCCACATCCTACAGGGATCATTGCCAATCTTCACCTCTGTGCCGAGAGCACAAGTAATCATGTATTTTTCACAAAAATCTGGATTTAGATCAACAGCTCGTTTCACGCTGGAATCATTTACTACTAGATGATCTAGGCTCAATTTACTAAATGAAGCTGCTTCTGCATAAGCATCACCAGAGTGAAATGTTCAGTGTGACGCCTATAAAAGGTTTCAAGACATAAATCCTTCCTTCCAATCCAGCACAGACATGGAGAAGGAGCATACATAGCTCAAAGCACTGAAAATACCGAGTCCTCTTTCATTCACAGCAGTCCTGGAGCACCAGAAGTACTGAAAAACCTTAGTAACCAAAATATGGGGTTTGGAAGGTGAGTTTACTTCTTCCTCACTGAGGTAGGACCTGTTGGTGCAATCAGCACTTTCACAGGAGCACACTTATTCCAGCTCTGTCTCTCATTGTGTGGAAGCTGCTTGTGCAAGCACTGTGAGCACGCTATACAAAGTGTGGTCATAGAACTTCCCGAAGGTTTAGGCAGTAATGAAAATATTCAACCTGTGCTTTCATCACTTCATTGCTTCCCAGATTACTTCCACTTTCAAGAGGTTAAAAGAGAGCTAATGTCTCCTCCTGTGAGCTATGCCGTCCCTGCTGGCTCTCTCAGCCACGAGAATACACTTAATAAACTTCTAAACGAAAGCAGAGAAATTCAAAATATGTTCACTTATCAAACCCAAAAGCCTTCCATGCAATGACCCTGCTTAAACCAGCAGAGCAACATCTGTGATGCCTTAGCTGCATCTTTCCTCTGAAAAAACATTAGCAGCCCGGAAACTCAACAGAAAGCCAAGCTTGATGGAAGCAAAAGATATCAAGAAAGAGATGTCCATTGGTAGAATCAAACATTAGTTTTTATTTTTAGAACAGCAATTTTTTTAAGACTTTATGGTTTTCATCAAACACCTTGATCAAAATTGCCTGCTTTTAAATGGAAATCAGAATCCTCTTTACTGTTTAATTTGTCAGAAGTCCAGATTCTTATTATCACTTCTGTGATTGTGTAACACTTTGACATGAGCACCACCAGCCAGTGGTAAAAACTGGTGGAAAATGTAGCATATGCTACATGGGAAGGACTCAGGGAAGGTCCCAACATATAAGTGGAATATCTTCATTTACTTTAACACAAATTTTGTTGACTCCAACTCACTTGTAAGCTTCAGCAAACTATTTCTGAGTACTCATTAATCATGTTATAAGGCTGTTTACTGGCTGCCACTTCAAAACACTGGGCTTAAATGATCTCTCTCACTGACTGTTTTGAAAAATGAAGAAAGAAAGAGGCAGAAACATGAAATGAAATGCACCAAACAAGTGGAAACAGCCCCTTTAAATACTTTTAGCTGGTGTTAATAGTGAAAGCTTGAGGGTGGAGTGATGGTGCTGGCAGATACAGTTTTCAGAAGAGATATAAAGGTGTTGTAGGATAAAGAGGATCAATATTACCTTTCAAAAACCAAACAAACCCTCCATCCACAAAAAAACCCAAACCAAACCAAACCAAAAAAAAAAAAGAAGAAAAAACCAAAAACCGCCAATACCAAAAAACCCTAACAAATCTCAGCCCTTGGGTGAAAACTGTATAAAGTTCTGAATGAGAAGTCACTTGAGTATTGGATTTATCCATGATTCCTTGGATTACTGGTAAGTAATTTGGTTGAATGTTTCTGTTCTAGGGCATTAGTTTTGCATTTTTCTTTGAGAAATGCTGCAATAACAGATAGCAGAGACCAAATTACCATAAAAGTATGTCAATTATTTGAATGGAAATTGTTCAGAAGGAAAGAAACGATGCACAGATTCTCCTAAGCTGCAGTTGCAGTTGATGATGACGATGACAGAAAAGTAATGGCTGATAGAAGGTAGTGTGTACTGTTGGGTGACACTTTGCTGATGACAAACCATGGTGAACATTTGTATAATGCACTGCAAGACTGGCATTTAGAACTGGTGGGGGTGAGTAGATCATCAGCCTATGCAACCCTGCTTCCTCTCAAAGTACATTGGTGTCTACCAGCTGAGGTATTCAGGATCTAGTCCTGAATGTATCTATTATTTACGTTTCATAAAATATGGCAAAATAAATGTTTCTTTGTCACCCATAGAGACAGAGAAGAATTAAAGAGCAAATGCAGACACAAATTACTATTTTATGCAAATTAATTTCAGGGAATCACACGCAGTCTTTACAGCCCAAGAGTCTGTGCAACGTATTTACTCAGTTCACAAATAAAAAAAATCCCTCACAAAAAAAAAAAAAAACATTGCCCTAAGTGGTGCGTATTTAAACTTAGTGGTAAGTTCTTTATGGTTTATCAACAGAAATAAAGAAGCAGTAAATATTGCCCAGTGTTACTACAATGAAATGTTATCACTTTCAGTGGAAAATCACACCTCTATCTGAAGGCACATCTAAAATTAATATATGTAGCCCTTCAAATGGAAACCAGTTAGAAGCACCACTGATGAAGCATAAGGCAGAAGAGAATATGGTTCATTCCATTGTGCACAACATAAACATATACATAAAACATGAAATTTTATTATCATTAAAAGGATTTTATTATTATTCCTTCTGCATAATATTTTTCCTTTTCAAAGCTTGTATTGTGTTACAAGGAAATTGCCATTATTCCAGGCTGTATGGTGATGATACAAATGACTTGCCCAATAAGCCAACGGCAGAGCTGTGAACCGAACTCTGCTGAGTTACAGTCCATTATTCTATCCACTGGATTCCTAATAAAATATTACATTTTTGTTTATTTGTATGCAAAGTGAATATAAGCAGGGAGAACATTTGCCAACAATATAGACACTGTTTTTTCTCATCTCTTTCCAGGACACACCTATGCTTCATACTCTTCAGTTTGCAAGCACAAGAAAGCTGGTATCACAAAGAGTTACAAAGGTTATCTAGAGGATTTCTTCTGCAAGAGAGGTGACAAAAGACCTGAGGGGA